AAAAAAAGAAGAAGAAGAAGAAGAAGAAGAAGAAGAAGAAGAAGTACACCAGCAAAACCAATGACAATTCCCCCTTCTCTCTCCACCTTCCTCCTTCCTCCTTCTCTTCACCAATCTTATTCTTCTCTCAACAATAATAATAACAATGAATGGATGAACCAGAACAATAACTGAAGTTCCCCCTTACTGCTGACTCAACTCACAACCCAACAACAACAACAACAAGTCCACCATGGCTATGTCTTCCTTCCTTCAAGCTCCTCTCTCAAGCATAGGTCATGGCGGACTACTGGAAGGCAACTATGATGCTGCCTTGATGCCCGAAAGACAACCCAAAGCAGCTATGTCGCTGCTTGACTCGGTCCGCTATGCCTGACCCTGCCTCTAGCTGCCCTGGTGCATCGCTACCCCAACCGGGGCCTTCCAGATGCAGCGCCCAACAAGGTGATGAAGACGGTGTCCACCATAGCCTGGTAAGTGCCCTACCAATCTCCCACCATGTCCCCCTTCTTCCTCCTTCAAGCTGGGGTGCTCGCCATAGCTAGGCTGAGCCCCAGCAGACCTTCACCTCCAAGCAGCGCTGCCTCAGACCAGCGCTGCGCTCCAGCAGCATGTCGCCAATCCTTGCATACCGCAAATGAGGAAGAGCTCACCGCTCTTCCTGAAGATATAGCGGCCTACCGGCCTCGTGGGCGGTGACTTCCTAGGCCAAAGGGCCTCCCAGCAACCGGTACCTCCTCCCTTTTGGAGGGAAACATCATTGCAGGCTCTGTTATTGTCCGCACAGGCCCTAGACCCGGGCTACTTGGACTGGTACCGGCCTRCCTCTAACCTACCGCTACTGGGCCTCTAAAAATGCCAACTTTTTGTCTTCTTCTRCTCGGCCTACCTGCWACTTGAGTGTTTTTCCCCAGCTGCTCTAAGTGTCGTGGGCCTACTCCCAGCTACCGGCATGTTTACCCCCCTGCAACCCTTCAAAGTCACGGCCACAGGTAAATACCGGCCCGGTGGGCCTTGCAACCAACAAGTACCCTAACGGGTCACGCACATACCCAACCAGCAAGCACTCAGACAGGCATGCAACCCAGCAAGTACGCACACACACACAACCGGCAAGCACTCAGACAGGCATGCAAACCAGCAGGCACACACACACACACACAACCGGCAAGCACTCAGACAGGCATGCAAACCAGCAGGCACGCACACACAAAGACCTGGGACCACAGCAAAATGCGGGAATCACAACAAGGCATTCAATGCCATGCATTCCATTGACAAATCCCATAAATCAGCAGTGTTCTCAGTCTGTGTTTTGGGCGGGTCATTACACTTTTTTTTTTTACTTTTTTTGTGTTCCACACGTGTCCCACCACGTGTCCAAGACCCATTGGGCTCGACCCGTTGATCGGAACTCAACGGGAAGCCCCCGTTATACCGTTCAACGGGGATTCAACTCAGGCCTCAAGGTCGTTCAACGGGTTCAACGGAGTTGAATAAATCCCGTTGCGAGTTGAATGGACACACAGACCCGAAGGAGGAGAGGGCATTGTGTTCTTCTCTCTCCTTTGTCTATTCTCCCCTCTTTCTCCTTCGTCTGTGCATGATTTCCCACCTCATTCTATCTACACACGTTTGCGATTGTTTGTCATTCATCAGCAGATTGATAATCATATGGACTGGTAATGTTGACGAGTATCATCACGTCTGGGCTCATTGCAATTTGGTATTGGAGCTATACTCTTGATGATGTGATAGACTACGACAACGACGAGTGATGACATCTACGACGAAGAGGCTGACGTGGACAAGACTGGAAAAGCACACGTCAGATGCTGACGTGGCATTGACGTGGCATTGGTAGAAAGTGCTGTATTGCTCACGTGGCCGGTGGATGATAGAAGACTGATGATGTGGCATTGCTGACTCACCATTAGTCATTGTGGTGAGAGAACAGGCTGACGTGGCAGTGTCACACTCCATTACTGGCTTACGTGGCATTATATGGTGCGCTGGTACCGCTCCTGACGTGTATTCCCTTGATGTTGCTGACTGGACAACGGTGCTGACGTGGCAGGCAGACGTGCTGCTATTCTAGCACACCAGGGGATACACGTGACAGGTTGGAACTTCGACTTCGTGGCAGGCTGGGACTTTGACTTCAACACTTTGCTGACGTGCACCCCGCTGACGATCTTGATTGGACCTGCTGACCTGGCATACTCTTCGAGTTGCTGAGTTGGCAGACCACGGGTGACACGTGGCAGGCACGACGGTGCCTAAGTGAGAATTGCATTCTGATGACTGAAGCGKCAYGGCTAGAAGACTGATGTGGCTGTGGTGCCAAACGTYAGATTGGGTGCTGATCACACAGGACAGAAGAGGAAGTAAYAGCAAGGGGGGGAAAAACGCTAACTATTGTTGATATTGTTGGCGGACTTACCTGTTGTTTTGGCTGTTGTTGTGTAACTTGTGTGCCTGTGTACTTACTTGTGTGTGTGGATGATCATGCTGGCCTGGAGTCGCAGTACCTGAGACAAAGTAGGATGTCATCACATTGAAAATAGAACAGCAAATAGAATCAGTATAGTTTATGTTCCTTATTAATTAAACTTTCTATTCAGACAGTATGTTGGGTCAGGTGATCGTAAAATTATTGTTGTCCTTGCGGTAGAACAGTGTGCTGATTCAGGAGACCGTAAAATTATTGTCTCTTTTGCGGTAGGACAATCTGGCCGACGAATTTTCCTGTTTCTGTTCTCCAAAAATGTCTTACTTCTAAAAAAGTTTGCAACACTCTATTTTGACGAGATTCGTGACTACCTTTTTGTTTCTTATTCCAATCACACTTTCCATTGGGGAAGGTCCGTCTGCACTCAGGACTAAGGGACAGGCTGACGGAAAGAAAAAGAACTGTTGGCCTTGTGGAATC